CGAAAATTATTCATTATCTTCCTAAAATTATAATTATTCAATGGTATAAATGCTATTTTCTAAATTGTAAATAAGGTTTTTATTGATAATAAAATATTTATCAAAAGATGAATAACATTAGTTTAGAGAAACCATTGTGTTGGAAATGTTGATTAGATAATGAGCAATGTTATTCAATTGGTAGATATTTTATTTCAGCGGAGTCAACACCTTTATAACGAAAGGTTTATGGTTTTCTTCGTATATTTGATATCCATTTATAATGAAGGTTCCAATTAATTTGCGGGGTGTCTATTTTGATACTGCGTGGCCAATTAATTTTGCGTTTGCTGTTTGTTACTTGTTGATCGTCTTCTCTGATTACGTGAATAATGTATTGTATGAAACTTTGATACTGGAACTTTTTTAAATTAAATACTCTCTTGGGTAAGTCTAATAATATGGGTAATGGATGTTTATGGGACATTTTGTGTTCTTTGTTTAAACGTTGGTGTCACACAGCAAACTGAAAAGAATCCACAGGGTTGACTTACTGACCTCTTAAGCTGAAGTGTCAAAATGGTACTTTAGGGGCAAAATAGGGCTATAGAAGGGAACTGACCAATCGAAGGCTTAATGTTAAAGTAGGACCGTGAAACTGTAGGAGTCGTTGTTTGTTTCAATGTGTGCAGTGGGCTTGACTCCGGTGGCAGGTTTTATGGGACCTAGGGGCCGTTGTTTGCATCGCTGCATGTTCAGCGTGTGGGGCCCTTAACACATTGCGTACCAGAAACGGGACATCTCGCTTTTATTTAAACCTATCTTTGTAACTTTGCTAACTACCATACTATTTACAAAAATATGAAATTTTATTAGAACTGATTACTTGTTTAATAATAAGATATTTGAATATTTTGCATATAGTAATATATTACGAACTTATAAGTTGATCGCAATGAAAAATTGGCCAGTTTTCTAAGAATTAATCAGTACGCAATGTGTTAATTCATTCGCTTGCTTTACCTTTCTTGCTTTACGTCTACGCATTCTTATTCGCTTGCTTTATCTTTCACGCTTTATACTTACGCTTTATTCTAACGCTTTCTTTCGCTTACTTTACCTTTCACGCTTTACATCCAATCTCATCCGCTTTCTCGTTCTTTCGGTTGCTCCTTTTTCTCACTCTCTGTCACGCACTTCCTTTATCTTTTGCATCTATAGCTTACATTCGCGCAGTCAGGTTTATACTGTCTTTTTCATATTGCTTCTAAAAGCAAGTAAATTATAATAATAAATATTTACAATTCTCTTTCTTTTTGCTGTTATTTCCTTTCTTTAAGAATTTGAAGGAATGGTAATTGTACATTCAACTCTATCTACTCTTCTTTTGTTTTGCATTCAGATAAAATAAATTCATTACTCAAATTTTATTGCTAATATTTTATATGTTTATGTATTACTACTCCGTTTCTTTGCTGCTACTAATCAAACGGATACTTTTTTGTTTCAGGCTATGTATTTATTCATATGAAAACATGTATTGAAAGGAAAGAAGGAAAGGTATTAAATAGAAATATTGTTGATTATACATTGAATTTTAATTGATGTGTTTCACTTAATTGTATATTTGTGTTAATCATGTATTTTATTTTGTTCTGCTTTTTGTGTAATGCACTATTCCTTTGTTTCAGGCTAGGTATTTGTTCACATGAAAACATATATTGAAAGAAATAGAGGAAACCTATTAAGTAGGAACATTATTGATCATACATTGAATGTCAATTGATATATTTTATTTAATTATATATTTGTTTTACTTGTATATGTGTTTCACTTGCATATTTGTTTTAATTCTGTATTTGTTTTAATGGTATATTTGTCCTAATTGTGTATTTGTTTTAATGGTGCATTTATTCTGATTGTGTACTTGTTCTAATTGTATATTTGTTTTAATTGTGTATTTGTTTTAATTGTATAATTTATGTTGTTCTGCTTCTTATGTAATACACTGTTCCTTTATTTCAGGGCTTAACTTATTATACAATTTTTGTCTAATTATATGATTATATTATTCATACTAATATTATTACTAATTACATTCATGTTGTTACTAATTATATTATTTTGTGTGAAATGAATTTTATTCCCTTTCCAGCTAGGTACCTTCGTGGGACAGCATCAACACAACGCAATACATATGTAAACGTATTAAAATACCATGGTTAGGTAGGGAATTTATTGGGATTTAGAAGCTCAAATGTTCATGAACATTTGGGAATTAATATTCGGTCGGGTAGGTTCAAGCAAAGCAGCTCCTTCTGTAGTGCATTTGATTAGCAAATGTGTTCCAGGCGGAGATGCGTCATTGTTTAAATTCATTATTTCAAGAATTTGATTTAAATTTCTATTTGAATTCCGTTAGGGTGGGCCGATCGAAGAACAAGTGGGTGGGCGGGTCTCTGATCACAGCAACCTCCTCGTGGTGAGACCTGGGTCGGCATTTTCCTTGGAATAGAATATTATATTCTACAATATTAATATTTTATTCCATATCAAGGATTATACCGAGCTAATAGCTGTGAATTTAACTCTTCACACCTAAAGGTAAAAATATTCACTTTCCAAGAATGGATCAAATTTTTAAAGTGCGATATTCACTATATATACAAAATATCTATCGTATAATGAACTCGTACTTGAAAAGAGTTGCAAGCTGATCAATTTAGAAATCAATTCATTTTCAGTTATGATTTTCAATGTGTCCCCGTATTGCCTTTTCTCTGCACTACTTGTAAATTCAAGTGCATGATTCAAGCTTTTACTTCAACTTAGATGATTTCAAAATTCAAACTTTTCATGTTGCACCAGCTACACGCAACCTCGCTTACACGAGGGACCAGGTAAATACGCACGCAGATAAGTAAAACGTTTTCTATATCTACAGGCGAACGATCCGGAAGATCTCGATTCAGATGTCGGACGTGCACGCCACATGGACTTCAGCTCGTAAATATCGTTTTGGCACAGACGGTAAAATAGTTCTCGCATCTTCTGTTCTCCACGAGACGCCGGGACGTAACACTGGATATCCAACGTTAATTCACAAACTTATGTAAGTGTACCTACATAATTACTTACAGACATTGCATGTTATGGGAATATTTTAATACAGCTATGATTTTTCAAATTCCAGTACACCAAATTAAAACTATAACACCACGAAATTCGCGTGAAAAATGGAACCCTATTTAACACTTTTAACACTTTTAACACTTTCTAGAATTAGCAACACTTTACAGCGATACTTCCAAGCTCAAAATTCAAAAAGGGACACAAATTATCAACTTTTACACTTACCAGAGTTAGGATGCCAAATCTCCATTATCTAGAAATCTTATCGCAATTTATATGTTTCAGGCACACCGCTGAACACCCGAAGAGATATCGTTTGTCTACCAGTTTAAGCGTTTTGCCACGGATGGCACTACCAGTTAAAAACGCAGATTTTCGAAAGCAGATCATTCTTGCCGCCATGTACATTACATGGAATGCCCAGAACGGTAAGAATTATTTATTGTATTGAAAAGATTAGCTTAATATTTTTTAATTTCAATTTGAAGTCATTATCTGAATATTACTATGAATTTGTCTTATCCAGAGTAATATCGATTGCTCGAGTCTCACCTGGTGAAGGTGTTTCTTGAAGGAGCACGAAGCAACAGCAGGAATGTGGACTCCAGGATTTTGTTTTTCTTTTTCAGAATTCGGAAGAGTTAAATGTTTTCCTGCTTGAGCTTAAGCTAATTTAAAAGAGACATATTTCTATCTTAAACTATACATGGAGAGGCCGTGTATGCAGAATTACCAGACTAAAAGAGAAAAAGGAAGTGAATCAAGGAAAAAGTCCTTGATTCCAATGAGATGAGTCAGAGAAGATTCCGCGGTGACAGGAACTCAGGCCTAAGCCCATATTTTGCCTCGTTGAATGTTATTTTATTCAGGTAAACATATTCCTATGTATATTAAACGTTTGTAAGTTATCAGGATCAGGTCGTGCGGGGAATTAAAACAATGCGAATAATGTTTTGATAATTTAATTCGAGAAAGCATAATAAATACTTTACCAAGGGATAACGGTATCTGTACATGAACAGCATGTAACATTACGTACACATAATGTTCCATCGGTAACGAATATGAAATTACAACTGTTCTATTCGAGAATAAATAACATCGCGATATATACTTTGTCGTAATCAAGATTTCGAGTAAACCTAGTAGGAAAGATTGTACGGAAACACGGAAGAGATGAAACGTTTCCCTCGGATAGACGCTCGATCGACTCTTACTATGTAACTACACCCGACGTAGAAAAACAAGGGGAAGATATATTGCTAAGTACTATTGTAAGCGTGTCGTTGATCGATACAATGTATTATGTAAAATAAAATCGATCTCACGTTTCTTCTGAATGAATGACAAAAATGATCGAACGGTCAACGATTTCTTTCTTATTCGCGGTACCGATCACACGTATGGAACTAAGATTTATTTATTAGAATCCATGAAAATAAGGAACGGTGTGTTACATTGTTTATTACGGCCAATAGAAGAATATATCGTATATGTTACCACATTTTTAATACAAGACACTACAATCAAATTTCGTTAATTTGAAGAAGTGAAAGATGTTTCTTAATATCTTAAATCGTTATTTGAAACAGTTAATTCAGATTGATAAAATAAATGTTGGATTTCGTAAAGAAAAATTGTAAGTGATTATTCCTTATGAATTAGTGACTGAATTAATTGTTCTATAACGAAAAACGTGTTTACGATAATGTAGTATACAAACAATGCATCCGACGCGATACTAATTCGTCTAAATGAATCGTTATATAATTTAATATCTCTTTCGTGTAGGGAGGCGACAATTCTAGTGGTCCCATACTTTTGACCGGCACTCTAACGAAACTAACGCGCATCGACTGCGAAACTGGAATTCAAATGAAAATTAAAAAATACTTTCTATCGGTAGCGTCCTTATAAGATAATCGTTTCCTTCAGTCATCGTTAACAAATAAATTTACTCGGTAACGGCCATAGATTAATTTATTTCACTGCTACAGGCTGCTTGAAGCTTTCCCTGGCCATTTCTTAGGAACATACACTGCGGATGATTGAATATATACATTTATTACAAAAATACGAAAATGAAGAATGTATAACAAGCACGTAAACAGCGATTGTCAATCGAGTACATACAACAAATGAACGTCTGTGTATGAATGGAACGAAAATCATGTTTGGCCGTTCTACTCGGAAAACTCCATGCAACCTGTTGCGTGTATTTGGGCTACCAACTTCGATAGAATCTAGAAAACTTAACAAATCGCTTGGGAAACTCTGATATGACTCAATCGTCGTCAAGTTCATTAGCACCATTAAAGACACTGATTCCAACGGTTCCATTGGCTAAACCGGAATTGGACGAAGACCTCCTTAATTAAATTAGCCAACTCGATACGCCGTGATTTATATACTTTCAACGTTTCGTTTTGTACAACGGGACAGTAGAATGTTATTGCACTTGAACAATCTCTTGCCACGGGGTCGGTGTATCATAAATAAAAAAATAAAACGCTTCGAACCGCGCGGCGACGGAGACTCCGTATAGTTCTCTCTATTTACATATAAATATCTTTCAATGAGATACGGATAAATTAATAAATACATACGCTAGGTGCGATCAACGTGCGATGGCAACTCGGTTTCGTTGCGGTGATTTAACATTATTCTAGCGAGGATCGTGTACGAGACGCTTACGTCTCGGAGCAGCTCGATCATTGCCGATCTATTAAATCGCTGACAGATTGCGTAAAGGGGTCAAAAAATATACTTGGAACTGACGAGGGACGAGCTCCTGGTCACTCTTAAACTTTTTATTAAGGACGTTCGGTCCCTGCCGCGGGACTTGTTGTGTGTGCTCGCATAAAATACAATTCTAATAAATGTCATGGTTACGTGAACTTCGGTGCTCGATTGTTTCCCTTTTGCCTGGAAACTATTGCTGTACATTCCCGTTTGCGACCGTAAAATCCCGATATCTCACGTGTAATTGCTCGTAAAAGCTTGGTCACACCGGCAACTGACCTCGAAAATCGGTTTCGTCGCCATGTTGGGTTGGAATTGAACGAATTCGTATTATTTTACAGTGAAATACGGAACAGTCAACTGAAGCTGCCATTTTTATTCTTGCGTCGACGCGGAAGTAATGAATGTTTTTGATCTTGGAGAAAGTGATTTGATATTATTGAATTGCTTTTTTGATCGTTTCAGGATTATAAAAGGGATTCTGAAGTTGTTTCTCTGTGGTCACACTAAAAACGTGGGAGATTTTTCGAGAATTCGTTCTGGGAATTGAAAGGTTCGAAGAAAATTCTATTCGATCATTACTAATAGAGCTTAACTATTGCTATCGTAATATTACGGTCATTTTTTCCACGGGACGTTTACATACACTCACAAACATAATACTTGAATTGCGGGTCTACATGGAAATTATTAATTCCATAGGCTATTAAATTAAGGAAACTAGTGTAACTCATTACATAGTTTACTAAACAAGGAATGAAATGTAGGATTCCTTAATCGTTAGCTGAAGTTTTAGTATATTTTATGCACTCATAGTTCAAGTAAATGCATAGATACTTGCTTCTATTTCCTGCTTGTAAGTACACGAAAATACAAATACACAAACACTCATTCGAAATAAATAAACGTGATGAAAAATCACTGCAATATTAAATCTTATCGTATAGAATTGATCCTCCAATAATTTCCCATATTTTTAGGATCCCCATCTAGAATCCACCTTTAATCATTTCTAACTAGTAACTGCTCAACAGTCGTAGAACAATTTTAAAAGGATCTACAATGTAAAGCGTCTTACACTCAAATAAATAAAAATGATTCGATACGCTTACGCGTCAATTGAAATGGAAGAACATTTTTCTCAAATACTTTCTCCATTACCATCGCGTCATGGATTACTAACCCAAACCTAATGTTCCTACATGTATCAGTCTCAAAAGTGGATTGAGCGAAAATGTACGAAGTCAGTTCCTGCATTTTCTCCCTCCTCAAGGAAAACTGCACCGATTATTGCAATATTGGTTCGTTTTCTTCACTGGTACCTGCTGTTCCCTCTAAACCCGTTTCTCGACTAATGGGCAGGACATTAATCTCCTAATGAACCAGCACAAAATTAACTCTGGAGCCTCTTTCACTCCACATCCTCTAATCTTCAACTACAATCCAATCTATTCCTCCATTCTTTATCTACAACACCATAGAAAAGAAAACAACCACATATGGCCCACTTACGAGCACTATTGGTCAACAACGGATCTACATCATCCGACCAAGAAAACCAAATTCATCACGATTTTCAGAATCGAATCGAATACATCAAAAACTCTTGCGCCTGCACACAAGGTGTTCGAACATTGTTCTCTCTAGACAATTATACTATCGAAGAAAATAAAACTAGAATTATAACCACTGCCGTGATCTTCATCAAGGCATCCTAAAACTTAGTCTTATTCCGACAGTACGGGTCAATTTGGTAGAAGTTCGATGGAAGTTCAATTCGCGAATACCTCTCGGAAACCAGTCAGCGTTAGACGCTGGTCTTCCTGTACGACCGTTTCGCATATTTTCCAAATATGCCTTCGGCGCGCCTGCGGAGATACACCGTCGATTTCTGTCTGGAAATCACCCGTTGCCGCTGCTGTCAAAGAATCGACACGTCCTCTGAGTTCCTATTCTCCGGCAACATGGCGATCCTCTCTTCCATCTGAATGGTCCCAGCGCTGTTGTTTCTCTTTGAGTGATCGTTCGCCATTCCTGGCTGGATGTTCACGTACCTAGGCCCCTCCTCCTCGTTTCGCTTGAAGTTCTGAAGACAGACTCCTGGCCCCGAAGACGATTCACCGGAATTCATTAATAACGGTTTCGAACTTTCTAGGTCGCTGATTACATCGCCTAAGAGACACTCTTGGTTCTTGTCGTCCTGGCAGTTTATATCTAGCAGAGGAGGACTTGGGATTTCCGTGGGACTAGAGGCTGAAGTGGAGGAACGCGTGTTCGTTTGAGGCGGCCAGGATAACGAGAACTTTCTTCTGAGGATGTTGTCGATCTGCAAATCGAACTGGCCGGTATGGTCTATCTGCACGCTGGCTATGGGGACGTCCAGACACGGCGACAGAATGCGAGGATTCATAGCCAGGAAGTCGACGATCTCCGGAGCTGTTGGCCTTTTTGTATGGTCTCTGTTCCAGCAGGAATACATCAGATTCTCCCTGTGGTAAATATGTAATTTCTTGTTGAAGACGTTTCCTTTTAATTCGTTAATTGGAGGAGATCGAATAATGTTTAATCATTTTTGTTTAGATAATGGGATGGATGCTTACAGCTGCATCCTGACACCTGTAGGAACGGTTAGCGACTTTCCATTCTGCACATGAGTCAAAACTTCGTTGTTGCTCATCCCCTGGAATGGAAAACTACCGAATGTGATGATCTCGTAGAGCAAGACACCGTAGGACCAGACGTCCGAGGCTGGAGTGAAGACCCCGAGGCCTAGCGATTCTGGCGCCATCCATCTTACTGGTAGCATTCCTGGGAACAGAGGATTTGCGTGAGATTATACATACCTATTCATTTTCTGTATACTGCAAGTGTAACTTCATTCTATACCTTTACGATTGAACTTGTAGTAATCATTCTCGTACATAGGCCTCGTCATCCCGAAGTCACCAAGCTTCACAATGCGTTGGGCGTTCACCAAGCAATTACGGGAAGCTACGTCCCTGTAACAAGGAGAATTTCACAACGGAACGATTATTTTCATGTTATTAACACGTTGACTGCACAAGAATTTCGAGGGTTTTGTTATAAGTAAGATTTATTCCTTTATAATAGAGGAAAATAATATTAGAAATAATTATTAATTTTTTGGTATTACAGTACTCATTTTACACTATTATCTAGATTTTTGTGTTACTAAATATTTTTATTCAATATTGATTCTGTTATTGTAATTGTTTTCAAGCACAATTTGGAAGCTCCGGTCACCGGTGACCACCGTGGCAGTCAACGTGTTAAACAGTGGACGATATTCAAGATAATTTGAAGCAAGGAGAACATCGCTCACCTGTGGACGTATTTCAACTGTGCCAGATAGCTAAGTGCCCTAGCCACGTCCAACGCCATTGAGGTCAACTTTTTATTGGAAATTTCATCGGAATCCTCGTAACTGTGATCGTTCACGAGGTGTCTCCGGGCCAGCAGGTAAGTCTTCAAGTCTCCATAAAGCATGAACTCCATTACAGTCAACACGGGTTCGCCCTTTATGCAGACACCTAACAGTTTGATGATGTTTTTGTGTTCGAACCTCTTCATCACCTCCACCTCGCTGAGGAAGTCCAATTTCTCGTCGGTGGAGCTGCCAACCTTCAATGTTTTCACGGCCACGGCTAGCCAACCCTTTTCGGAGAAGAAAGCTTCACCACCGTACACAGTGCCGAAAGCACCCTCGCCCAACTTCCGGTTGATCACCACTCGCTCCCTAGGGATCTCCCATTTATCCAAATCGGGACCATCCAATTGAGTCAAGTACTCCAGGCCTAGAGACTTCATGTACTTCTCGTGAAGTTTCATTTTCTCCTCGTACCTGGAACGAGTGTATGAAATCAAATGTAATTACATTCCCTCAAGTATGTAATTTCAAATGAATATTTTAGTAGTTGTTCTTTAAGTACTTCAACACTAAAACTACCGAGCAGTTAAATTGACTTTTTGAAATTTCTTTATAGAAACTCCAAGAGTGCACTTCTCGAGGCTTTAATTGATTTACAATTCAGTTCGCGTATTGTTAAATCAATTTCTTCAATAATTTCTCAGAGAAACATCTGTTATCTTTTTAATAATTGCAACAAGAAGAAATCAAGAATGGATCATTTTGATCCGTCTGGTAGTTTGTGTTAAAGTAGTTACTGAAGTTGAATAAATAAATGGAATCTCACTTTCTCTTGACAATCATGAAACCAACGATCAATATGATGCATAGGAAACCAATGCCGAAGGAACTGATGAGGATGACGAAGGCCACTTCGCAGGAAACGTTCAACACGTCCGCAAAGCCTGCTATCATGCATCTTTGAGGTGAACCGTCATCGGGCACTTGATGCGATAACCAAACGATGGCGGAGATATTCATGTCCAATCTGCCGCCCACTACTTCGTGCTTCTTTTCCGAGACATTGGGATAGAAGTTGCCGACCACTCGAGTTTCGTTATCAATGTATTGAACGACATTGATTACGGAGTATCTCGATGGGCCTCCTAGGAAATTGATTCTCCCTGACACCTGAAGGAGATAATTAAGATCCATCGTATTTACACAATAAGAAACCTTATAATTATGAATAATATTAACCCTTAATGGACAAAATGGTGGCGGAAATCATTTTACTATTTTTATCACTGTTATTATTGTGATATTTACAATTAACACGTTAAGTATTGTGCTAAATCACTTCTGTGAACTTCTTTCCGTTTGCTACCTATGTTACAGTACTTTTTGACAGTAAGAAAGCTTGAAATACTTCCAGTCCATTAAGGGTTAAACATCTGTGACTGTAAACAACGCTAAAAGTTTATCGGCATGAATAATATTCGATTCATTTCTTTGTTTTACAGATTCAGTGACTTCATATGGTATGGAGATAAATTAATTTACATAATGATGTTCCCAAGAAACTTTAACGTACCCCATTGAAATTCATCTCGCCAATGATAGTTGTCAGCCGCTCGATAGTCTCATTACTGTGAAGATCGGACACGTAAGATTCTTTCTCCTTAAGTAGTTTGTCGATGGAGTACGCGTACGTCCACATTGCGTCATACGCGTAACCAGCATAATTGGAGGGTGGTTGATTGCTTTCTCTGCATTTTTGCTCGTATTTGTCGCGCCACTGCCGGACAGTTATACCCTCTTGCATAATGTCGTCATCGGGAGCGAAGAACGCATGTGTGATACCGAAATGACCGTTGATCGACTTGCTCATTTCCGACGTGGTGCACGGCACTTTCTCGCCATTTTTGTTGTAGCGATCGGTATCGTACCATTGGGGACGAAGCCAGAGAGGTAGAAACCAAACGTAACCCTGTGGTCCACAAAAATTTATTTTAACAATTCCGATGATCATTATTTAGAAGAAGAAAGGCTTTCTTAGAGTGATAGGGGAACCGTAATGAATACTTCGGTTAACTCTTGCACTATTCAAGTAATTATAGTAAGGTTGTATGTTATAAACGTGTCGATTCTCTTTTGTACACGTCCTTAAATAATCACAGTCAAATCGAGGATGGGAAAGTAGAGAAATTGATTAAATACCTGAACGGCAGTCATCTGCAACCTATACGCCTCGCACATCACTTGCCTGGCTATTTGATCGTTCACATCAGCGATGATAATCTTCGCCTTTTTCTGCTTCAGATCGTGCAGATACTGAAAATTAAAACATTCCTGCGTCAGATCGAGCGTGTTTGCATGCGCGTAAACAACACGTTAGAAGATAGAATACAGTTTCTCTCGCGGGCTCAAGGCCGCGCGACACTGAACCTTGCGAAGCAAACCATTAAAAAAAGTGACCCCGTAGATTCTGTATTACGCGATCGTATGCAAGTCTCAACGATTGCTAAATGAAAAAGCTAACTCGCGAGGTAAAAACTTCACATCGTTACTCGTTGCACTCGACTTAACCATATACTTCAATTCAACGAACCAACAACTTCGTCGTATATATCAAATATCTTCCATTCTTCATACACTACTTTACTGCATATGCTGTACTCTCTAACTATTACTAATAATTAACCAATCTATTTTTATCTTTCTCTAATCTCACCCCTGAAACGATAAGTCTATAATCAATACCTTGGTCATGCCATCAGCATCTCGTTCCCTGGGGAACTTCACGTTCGCCACGAACAAGATCCCATTATCCCTGAGTATGTCCTGCATGTAGGATATGTATTCGGTGTACTTCTGTCCATCCTCCGTTAAAGACGCCACCCTTCGCCAGCCAAGTTTCTTGAACAACTCCAGGTAAACATGTTTGTACTGCTTATTCTCGCCGATCGTCCGGAAGAAATACGGATATCTGGAGCGATCGTTAAAGCTAGACCCCTCAGCGCTGTAGCTGATGACCGCAGTCTTATAATACTTCGAGACCCCAATCAAAGGTTCAACGGTCTCCGAGCAAGCGGGTCCTAGGACACCGACGAAATTCTCGTAATTAGGGCTCATGACGTAAGAGATGAAGAGCTTCAGCACCTTGTCCGATCTGCACTGTCCGTCGTTGTTCAGCAAATCTAGATCGTAGTCCTTAAGAACAGTCTTGTTCGCGTTGATAGCCTCTTTGGCCATGAATGCAGCTTTGTAGATCGACCTGCCAGAGTAAAAGGACTCGCTCAACGGGAATATGCCGCCGATGTAGAGGACTTTTCTAACCGGTTCAGGTAGCCATTTCTCTAAGGTGTAGTTCAGGTTATCCTTCAACCAGTCGCAAGCGATGCCCTCTTCGCTCATGTCCCCGAAGTGTTTGTTGTAACGATCGATCAGGTCCCTGTAATGTTCATCGGAGAACGACGCTTTGTTGATCACGTCGAACGCCGGCTTGGCTTTGAACTCTAGTATCAGCCAGGTCAGTTTTGTCAACCGATTCGACTCGTAGCTGCAGCTGGCCTCGAAGGGCAGCACGCCGCACCGCGGGAAATCGATCTCCACGAAGTCCGTCTCGTTTGGCACGATGTCGCTGGGCGTCCAGTGAAGAATCACCAAGGACCTGGAGAACATCGTGGATTTTGGCGGTTCAAAAGACAGCATCCGAAATAAACAGCCGGGCCAACCGGCTGCGGCTGGCTTTCGCGGCGCCGGTGAAAAACACGGCCGCTCGATAATAAAAAGCGCAATAACTCCGGTGAAATATTTGACGGCGGGGAATGTTTTCGCGACCGCCTGTTTGCGTTCCGGAGGAAACGTTTATCGAGAGGTATAATTATCCTTGGAACTGCGAAGCGAAAATAATGGAAACGGCGTCCGGGGAAATGTATGTTTGGTGTGACTGAGTTGTTGGGCGAGGATGGCTCGGACGAGGGTTGAAAGTGCATCTGAGATCATTCGATTGACTTTGATCGTTTCTGAAGGACGTGCTGCGGAATGTTTGGTGTTGCTTCATACCTTGATTGATAGGGTAATTATAGGGGAAGTTTGAATTATTGAGATTTATTCTATTGTTTCTAGCGATTGTAATGGTTGTAGGAAAGATTGCGAAGGATTGAGAAGCAGACGAGTTGCAGCTGTCATGATACACGTTAAGGACATTTTTGATGATCTTTTGGTTCAGAGAAAGATTTCTGTGTACTTCTGTATGTAAATTACGTGGTATAAAAGTCGATGTGAATTCATGAATCTTTCAGTGAGAAGAACGGCTTCTGTTTATGTACTTCAAGAATGATGAAATGTTTTTAAGTTCTACGAAGGATAAATTAGAACAATCTTGACGAAATCATTGGCCTCAAGATGCAATAGTGCGCAATAAGAAAGATTTCTTGCGAATGAATGGAATGATGGAAGTTTACTCGTAACATAAGCTTCTTTTAGGAGTTATCTATCCGATTATCCAATTCGACCTTTCATCCTTGCGTCAAGTGAGCCATGCAAAAATTCATAGATTCGTCTACGAAACTGACAGCTACGTATTCCTTCACTCATGCCCCTTATCTCGACAGTATTATGCAACCGTCTTCTCGATAGTTCTAATTTTTACATAAGAATCACTCGACACGCGGAAATCATGCTCCACATTCGCAATAACCAGCACCTGGCTGAACAGAATGAACTTGAAAAGAATACATTTCACTACAATATTTACTGCTTCAAAACAACATTCTTACATTCAAAAATGTCCCGATTTCATCAGAAACAACAAAGATACATGAAATTATAAAGTATTTATAAACATCTCTACAATATTTCGAAGAAATCTAATTAAGTTACTATTAAGTAATTACTATTAACTCTTTGCGCTCGGAAGTATTTCATTAGAAATATTTAACATTTCCTAACTAAACAAGGATGATGTTTTTTGAAACATCAATATTTCACATATCGATGCATTATACACAGTTCAATATTAAATATCAAATTGTAATTTTACTAATATTAACCTTCGTTTGTATTTCGTTGGAAATACTCGACATTTTCTAATTAGACAAAGATGATATTTGTGTAAATTAACTGAAAAAGAAGTCGCAAGTAAACTGAGAGACAAAGCTATTTTAGGCCAACATTTCACGTACCGATGCATTATACAGAGTTCAATATTAAATATCAAATTTTAATTTTACTGCACCAAATCAAGTGGTGACTGAGTCACCTTTCGAGTGCAAAGAGTTAAGTTAGATCTTCGTCTGTTCTCAAAAAGAATTCAGCTCTGAAACAACTGAATTCCTATTAGAAAACTATTTCTCAATCTTCCTTGAACAACCCAACAAAAGCTTCACGAATCAAGTTCATTCTGCATCCACTGTCTGAACATCCGAGGACTGAAAAGTATTCCAATACCTGCTATTAATCGGTGTCATCGATTTCTTAGCACGCTCCGCATACTCGGTGGTCAAGGTCTCGGTCAGTTGCTTCAGGTTATACCCGACCCACGCGACCTTCACGTACAGCTTCATCGCGTCGATGTCGGTCTTGACGAATTCAGTGACGTCGGGGTGACTGGCGAGCAGCAGGGCGCAGGATTGCTGACCCTGACACTGCTCAGGAATGTACATTCCCTGCAGGCAGTACGTCTCGTTGCAGAAATGCGAGTCGGTTCTCTGGTCCACGGTTTGGTTCTTGATCATAGACAAGGTATCCTCGTCTACGTCGAAACGAGCCGCTGTCTCCGGTTTAGCGAGCGTCGCCCAAGAATCACCTCGTCTGGACAGAGATTGCGGCACGAACCAACCGAAATGACCTGGCGGAGCGACGGATCCTAGGTCCTTCACATTGTAAGCTGTCAGCAAGGGGGCCGGATCTACCTGCGGCGGGATCCACGCCTCCATATTCACCATGGACGATGAGGAAGATCTGTTCGACGGAGTCAGAAGTAAAGAAACTGGTCTTGAATATTGTTTGGAGGATTTTAATGAGAATTTTGACTTTGACTTCGGGGAACTTCGGGTTTTCTGTTTATAGTGGCTAATTAAATTTTGTAGATTACGATTTGGAAGAGTTAATCGATCTTTAAAGGTTGCCGATCTTTTCGATGGATTTTTTGTTGTAAGCAAAAAGGATCGATGAGTCTATTCACTGAATACAATGAATTTTGTGTGGAAAAATTACTCTGCGGTTAGCGTTTTCTTCGAATTTTTGGTTTGCTGATTTTTGGGTTGCGATTTTATTAGTCTTGCTTTCGATTGTCGTGCAATGTAATTAATTGTAATCATACTTTGTTCATTAGGCATTAACCTACTATTGTCTTCTGAAAACAAAGCGATCTGTTACGAGATGAATTGCATGTATCGATCGTCACGAGGGAGTCTTGAACTCTTTTAAGTGGTCGCAATGGAGATCGAGGTTTTTCCTTCTACGATTGTTATACAATCATAGCGAAAACAAAGAGTGAACGTTTGCTCGCATAAATTATATTAAAGGGGTAGTGTGAAGTTGTACGTGAACGATTGTATGGAGAATAGAAACCATATCGACGACATCAATAATCTAATCATTTGATTCTTTAAAGAATAAAAAAGATCAGCATGCATTTTTCTCGTTTTGCAGTATTTTCAAATTAAATGAGCTACTGAATTTTCAAATGATTTAAAAATAAACTCTTTCACGTGCCACACGTGTCTGTCTATTACTGTGTATTTCCACTTGCAAACTACAGTGACTGCACGGTATCGTTCACTTTATATCAACTTACTATCTTCGAACTGCCACTTTATATAAAATAATCGCAGAAAGTAGATAAAACCGTAATACTGTGGATATTTGTAGTCACTGATACAGGGAAAGATAAAGAGTTTTAATAGTCACACGATAGAAGTCGAACGTACAACTTTCTTAAGAATAAAGTCTTCCCTACAAACATATTATTTTATACCATCGATTTGTTACTCTTTCGAGCCAAACAGCAATCTTTAATACACTCTGTCTGAAATAAGATAGATAAAAAGAAAGAAGATTCAAGTTCGCAGATCAGAGGTTTAACGATACGTAGATCATTTCGTTTATGAAGGGTGAGAGTGAAAGATTAGATATAAACACGTACCCTCCCTTCTGTAGAACCTCAAATGGCCCGTTGTATAATCTGACGAAGGTATCTTCCAGTAGAAAATTATCGTCTCTTTCCACAAGATTCACTTTACGGTATCCCACCACCTCCGTTAAGAAGATCTTCATGATCCACGAGGACAGCCTTTGAGTCACTCGACGGGAAACTTCGAAGGTAATGTTCACCTCCGCGTTGTCCATGCGGACCGATCTCTGAGAAGTGGGCTCTGATAAAACGAACACGACTTTTAATCGACATAAGAATGTTTCCTGGTAAATGTGCCATTTAACGTCACAGCCAGTTTTAGACTATTTCGCTGGAGTGTTTCTTTCGTTGAATAAATACTGTGTTCAACAGTTTCCGGTCGGATCGTTTTTGGAATTGAGTCAATGTCACATTGACGTGCCAATGCAAAGGGTACAAAAAATACTAAAATGTAATTTGTTAAATACTGTACATTAAATTATCATAATAGAAGATAGTATGATTTTCTTTTTTAAACACTCCGGCTGGGAACCTTTGAACATACTGAATTATTTATTTCTAAAAGAGATATATAATAACAAACTTAGCCTTTATTGTATAAGAAAAATTCCAAACACGATCTAGCTGGGAGTTTTTGAACGTCACTGTATTTCTTACTAGATCACTGAATTGAACAATTAATCGAGGTCCGCGTTAGATTCGTTAGTTAACTAATTAAGTGGAGAAACTGGTAAAAGTCGCTAAACGGTACATTTACCTTGTTTTCTGAGAAGCAAGAGTTAATTATGGACTGAATGTTTTCGTGCGTCTGTGATATATTTGATTTCACGAAACATGATCTTGTAATTACAATCTCTGGGAAATGATTCGCGAAGATTGGAAATTATACACGTGCACGGTCTACTTATTTGCAATTGGATTATTAGCTGAGTAACGTCGGCGTACCATCGAGCATCGTCAGACAGCGATTCGTAGATGAGATCCTCGTGACGAACATCAGGACCAACAGGCCCAGTATTGATCCGAATCTCAGCATCTTTTATTTTCTCCGTCTCCTGGAAAAAACAAGATTAAAGAGAGATTAGGGTTCAGTGCACGAAGAACTTCCACTGATTGGGTCTCAACGTTCTCTTCAAGGTCTCCTCGGACCACAGATGTACCTCTCTATAGGATTAATAGCTTGATAATGATAGCCGGACCGGTTCTATTATATTCGAAAAAATTCGGAACATAGGATTCATTAATTTTACTAGCTAAAAGAATATTCTTCCTGGTTTTATCTGTTTTTAAAAATAATATTTATGCTACCACCAACTCGCGTATAAAATGCAAATTTTCTAAAAGTGTCTTGAAAGCAATCTATTTTAACTGAAAAACAAAAGTTCTGCCTTATAGAAAGGAAAATTGTTTAAATTCTGTAAATTGATGGTTATACGTGCGATCTCTCGTAAATTTCAGAAGAGGAAAATAAATTTAAAACTAACACACTGCGTAGTAAGGAAAAATCCCGTTTTTATAAAGACACTTAGCTATGCAACCGTGCTAATTACCGCAGCGTTAAAAAATATTAAATCTGGAATTGATTATCCATTCAAAACATATTACACAACAACGTAACATCTAAATTTTTCTATCACAGTAATATAAGTCGATCTCACTGGAAATTACCATCCGCGCAATTCAGTTTCCTGAAAATTAACCGGTGCGCGATGCGTTAAAATTAAAACGTCAATAAAGTCGTTCGATCGAGAAAATTTAGTGCCGAGTCTACCACCTTGCGAGACCCCGGAGGGTCAACGCGTCTCTTTCATTGTACTTTGCATACTCGTAAACGCAACTGACGCAAAAAATCCGCATACGAACAATGACAGCGCAGCTCGAACCCAGCCTGGCAGTGAAAGGATGAATCTCCTGGCTACGGGAGACGAGAGGATTCCGGCACCTTTTGTGAGTCAATCGACACCGATAATAGAAACGCGAGAGGCGGCCGGTGCGGCGAACAATGCACGGGCGCGCGTATAAATAGCGACAATGTGCTGCGAACGCAATCCGCCTTTGAACAGCCGATGGTAAATTTAACGGCGGAACGTGTACACGGAAGAAAGACGAGTAGTTTGGACAGGTGGGGCGCGTGTCGCCGGAACGAGAGGCGAAGGATCGCGAAGCGTGTGTACCGTGCGCCATGTTTGTTTACAACGGCGAGAAGCAGACGCGATAGTAGACGGGCGAAAGCGGGGAATCCACGATAAAATTAATTGGAAGATGATTCGAGAACAGTTTCTCTCATTCTATTCGAGGAACTGTCTTGTATTTCTGTTCTCCCCCCCCTTCGATCGTTAGACGGAGTGATTAATAGAACAAGTAAATAAATTTCACCTTGTCATTGGTCGCGTGTTTTAACGGATATCTCGTTCTCTTTTTGTATTTCCTGTTTACGTGTTTTATATCGATACTTTTCTCGACGCTAGAATTATTGTAACACGGTTTTCTTAGTTTGAAATTATTTTATACCTTGGAAATATTAAACGTTGTAAATGACGTCTATAGCTGTGTAATTCTAGTGAATTTAGGTGCGAATAATGGTAACGTTTTATTTTTAGTAAGATAAATAAGAAGATATAAGAATTTTATTCTGGAAGTATGACATCTTGATCGATTTCACCGAGAATTGACTGATTAGCAAACAGAAAGGATAGCTTTTGTTATCTATCAGGGATTTCAAAGTGAGCGTTAACGTGTTTTAACACTTTGCACTCGAAAATCATTTCGCTAGATATATTAATCATAAATGAAATTTAATATTGAACATCAAACTTTGTAATTTATCTGTATCAAACAAAATGGCGACTGTGAATCGCCTCTCGAGTGCAAAGGGTAAATCAATGATCTTAGAAACAGTTTCATCTGAATATTGTACCGAATATAAGAATAAAGTGAATGAAATCTAGCACAATTTTTATAAAGATTAAATATCAATCGAGTTGAACAATTGGTAGTTCTAGCGTAGATTAGCTGTCAATTCCGATAGATCTACCTAAGAATATCAAGTTGACGAGAACTTATTCGCACACTGTTTCCCTACCTCTTCTTCGAATCACTCTGCTAATGATTTCCACGATTACGATAATATTAACCTTCGAGTGCTGAATACTTGAAGCCGAAACATTCCATGTGGACGGAATCTTTGTTTGCTCATCTGGAGATCGATGAATTCTGTTAATTCATACAATGAATTAAGTTGTAATTAATTACATACACTGGCAATTATCATCACGACACTTGTCACATTAACCCTTTGCACTCGAGAGGCAACTCTCAGTCACCACTTGATTTGATACAGCAAAATGAAGCTGACTGGTATTTTAAATTAAACTTTCCATTACTATGTGAAATATTTAAATAAAATAGCTGTTGCTTAATTTATCTGTGAATTATCATTAAATTAGTTTCAAACAATGTTTACATCTCGTCGGGAAATGTTGAATATTTCTAGTGAAAACCTTTCGAGTGCAAATGGTTGAAAACATCGAAAAACGCGTATATGCGTCCACAGCGCTCAAAGGGTTAATCCACCACGATTTACATCGAACGCGAGACGATTGTCGCAGACTGGAGAGTATATTTTCCACACGAGCAACGCGGTTCGTCGCGGATCGTAATTACCATTTCTACACGTGTGACATAATGAAGAGTATGCCAGTAATAAGAAAAGAAAAACGAGTCGGCGATCTTTCGATGAACCGATGAATGATCATGCTAATGAGATACAGCGACGGCCGAGGAGAATGCTAGGCACGTTCGCGCGTGCGGAACGGAACGGTTTGGACAGGTGAGAGACGTGCGAGGCATCGGTGGAAGGAGGATAAGGCGAATATCAACCGAGCCACCGGCATTTGTTTACAACGACGAACGGGAGTACGAGCCGCGAAAGCGACGAGCACGACAACGACGAAGGTGACGAGAAACGACGATCGCCACGTGCTATTCTTAGCCATGGGCGGCGGCATCCGTCGTCGACGCAACTTTGACTTTTCAACCCGAGCGTCGCGATTCGTGGGCGAATGAACTGCGCCGTTAGGCAGTCGCCTCCGTTCGTCGATTTCGGGTTCGCGTTAACACGTTGAACGCCATGGGGGTCACCGGTGACCCCCAACCAAATCGAATTACTACAGTTCACTCAATTAACACGTTGACTGCCACGGTGGTCACCGATGACCGGAGCTTCTAAATTGCTGAAGAACAATTACAATAAAAAACTTGATTTTAAATGAAAATATTTAGTAACAGAAGTAGCTAGAACATAGAGTAATATGACTACTGTGATACTAAGCCATTAATAACTATTTTCAATATCATTCACTTTTGCTATTAAAGAATAAGTATTACTATTCAAAACATTGGAAATTCTCCTGGCAGTCAACGTGTTAAACGATGATTATTTATAATATAGAAATGTTTTCAAATAATCATTGTTTAACACGTTGACTGCCAGGAGAATTTCTAATAATTTATAATATAGAAATGTTTTCAAATAATCATCGTTTAACACGTTGACTGCCAGGAGAATTTCTAATAATTTATAATATAGAAATGTTTTCAAATAATGCTACCGAATGCAGTGATATTCAATGAACGTGCAATAATAAATGTAATTCAATCAAATGATTTAACATTATATTTGTCCATTTTGTATTAACACATTGTCGACAGATCACGAGTTAACTCGTGCTTTCATGCCTAAACGTTGTTGACCGGTCACGAGTTAACTCGTGTTTGCACTTGCATCAGCTATTTCAATTATTAAAACGCAGGGCAATATAGAATATTGCGAAAGCAAAATATTCGGAGTTATCTGAAACGTACGTCCGAAGTTTCATTTCAATTCATTATGAATAAACGAAGTATATTGAACTTTAGATCGTTGCACTTTAATATTCAATTATGAAATGATAAGTGGTGACGTGGGAAACTTATTGTGTAACATTGCCGGGCAACAATGTGTTAAAACGTTAACTGCCACCAAATTACGAGAAAATAATTAGAACTTGTGAGACAAGTAATGTCGAACACAAATGTTCAGTAACGTAAATAACCAGATAACGTAACGTAAGAATTATGATACTCAATAATTAATAATTCTTCCTTTCAATCTTTGCTATGGAAAAAATAAGTACATAAAATGCTGATGTTTTCAGTGGCAGTTAAGTTGTTAATCGAAATGATTAACCGATCGAGTGGCAAGCAGAACGATCGCGTTTCATTAGCTAGTATATTAGTTCGTAGAATCGAATCAAGTTTATTCGTGTTCCCTGTAATTGTTTAGTTTTATTTTTGTTGTCTGCTTAGAAATAGATGAATAGAACGATTGTATTTAGATGTTTTCTATGTGAAAAGGGGGAAAGCGTCATACAGTTTCTGAGAAATGAAAGAAGCGCCATCGCGTTTTTCTGGTACACTGCCTAAAAGTGACAGTTTATTGGTTCGTAGAATCAAATGACGTTTATTTATTCGTGTTCCTTGTAATTGCTTAATTTTATTTTTGTTGTTGTCTGCTTAGATATAGAAGAATAGAACGACTGTGTTTAGATGTTTTCTGCGTGAAAATGGGAAAGCGTCATTCAGTTTCTGAGAAATGAAAGAAGCGTGATTAGACGCCTTACGATTCTAGATCGTAGATCTAGATTACTGAAAGTAATCTAATTTTCCTTGCGTGAGATAGACAATCTTAAGCGTCACAGGTATGTGTCTTATCTAAGGTTTATCTCGGGATTATCTAAGATTTGTCTAAGGTTTATCCAAGGATTATATAAGAATTACATATTAATTATATCAAACGCTCGGTAGTTCTAGTGTCTTCTGATTATTGTTCGATGGATTCTTAGTTTTAACCTTGAATTAACTGGAACGTTAACACCATTTCCTTATTGCGCGTACTACCTGTCAAATGTACTTCCTTTTGGTATTTCCACATGAAGTTTAATAATAGAAGCGGAAAGACTTCCCGATCGTACTACTATTTTCGATCGAACACGCTCCCGAGCCTGTTTTCGTTCCC